CAAGCGAATAAAATTAAAATTTATATTAACCCCGACAACCCTCGAGCTCCGTCATCAGAATAAATTTATCTTTGGATCATACATGAATGTTCCAAAGGTAGGGTTTAGTGTATTTGAATAATATATATATTTCTACCGCTAACAAAAACAGCTAATGACTATGACCTTCGATAAATTGTAGGTAAGTACCTTCTCAATCACGTCAGCTATCAAAAAAAAACACCGTAGCTATATCGGTCGATACGTTTGGGAGCTACGATGCCACAGATATACACTCTAAATCTATCTTCGTATAACAATCTCAAGATCATTGTTCAACAACCCTGAGCTTTCTTTGTGAGCAACATCCGAACGTCGATAACAAAGCACAGACTACAACAGAGCCCTTTTAAGACATATCTATACTCTATTACTCAAAACTCTTGTTTGAAGGCTCAGGCCAAAACATCTTAAAAAAATAAAAACTTGCTTAAATATTTTTCTACTCGAGATTATAAATATCATACTTATAATATCAGTCCAATTAGTGTTGGTCTTATAGCTTGAGCATACCTAGTCTCATAACCCGGCGACGTGGGTTCCAATCACGGCTGTGTACTAATGTACTTTATTTTCTTCGCATTTAACTCTCGCTTTTACGGTGAAGTAGAAGGATTACCTACACAGATACAAAAATGTGAGACCAATTTTTTTAACTTTGTTATTATCATTTTTACGTATTTATTTTGTCCGTACCCTCGCAATGTTGCCAGCTCAGCAAATAATTGACAAAACAAAGCAAGTGTTAAATAAGTGCCACTTCACCCCTAATACGCCAAGTGCTGAAACGTGCTGAAACTACTGAGTTTAGCCGCGCCCTTGTCTTTCTTCATCTTTTTGTTAGACAAGGTCGGCTACGTATAATATATTTCTAAGTATCCGATTATAGGTTTTCTAATACGTATAATTCGACGCCGCCCATGAACACACTACTAGAAGGCTCGCAAGTACTTTGCCCATTTTTAAGAACTGGTTCTTGTTCTTGAAGGACCTTAAATCGAATCGGTTTGGAAATACTTCAGTGGGCAGCTGGTTCCACTTAGTGGTGGGCTGTTTGCAATTTAAATTAATTCAAACATTGTTAAGGGTTTCAAAAAAATATTTGTAATTTGATTCAATAAACAAAACATATTAAGACTTCTACGTCATTTCAGAAACCCGACCAAATAATATGTGCTTTACGCAAATATCAAGTAAAAGTAAACACGCAGAGCAAATGTTCTGTACTTTTAATAATTCCTACGTCAATGAACAGATAAATTCCGTAATGGGATAAAAAATACTTTAAATATGAAGGTTTTTATATTAAATAATTTTTATCTGCATAAATATGCAATTAAAAATTATCATATTCAAACAAATCACTCCTTAGTAAGAATTTGCGTATTAGTTTATTTATATTAATAAATAAAATAAATCAGTGGCGCTAAAACGCCTTTAGGTGTCGGCCTCAGATTTCTGAATCTGTTTCATGGTCATTTTTAAATCTAATAGGTAAGATCAGCTCCCATTGCCTGACACACGCCGCGCCGTCGACTTTTTGGATCTAAAACATGTCGGTTTCCTAACGATGTTTTCCTTCACGAGCAAATGTTAAATGCGCAAATAGAAAGGAAATCCATTGGTGCAAAGCCGGGGCTCGAACCTACGACCTTAGGTATGAGAGTCGCACGCTGAAGCCACTATGCCAACACTGCTCAGTTTATTTATATTATCATTTATTAATTATTTTTTCCTGACGCGGTAGGCAGAGACCACGGATCTCCATTTGCCGTACCTGCTATACCTCTCTCGCTTCATCCACTTCCATGCCATTTAGCATGCATGCCCGTCAATTATGGGTACTTTTAACGTCCCTTCTCTAGTACCTACTAAATTTGGTCCAGGTATGTACGACAACCCAACCCGATTTCACCATTACTACATTGCGTATTAATACAGTAACTACATTCTGTATAACAGACTGTAAATTCCTACTATCCTTTAATGTACCCAACATTATACCTCATGTAAATTTATTTTGTATATACCCAGTTATGTACCTAAGTTTGTTTGTCTTGGGTATGGTAGGATACAACAAGTTAGTTACAGGAGGGACCTTACTATCACATTATCCTTATTTAAGGTCCTTAGAGGTAGTATGCGAGAATGTTAGAGAGACTGGGGTTGCGTGTGCCATATAATCACACTCGGCGTGGTAAGCGGTCCCAATTGCTTTCAGTATATCGAGTGCGTAAGAATTTACTCAGAGAAGCAGCATTGACGCGTGTCTTGCACACCCTGAATATTATTGCAGAGAGACAGATATATTTAGTTGCATTCACATGAATTGCATGATTTAAAATTTAAGTTATAAATAGGTTTAGGTTTTTTTTTGTTTTGTTTATATTATATATGTTTTAGTTTAATTTTTATAATAATAAGTTTTCTATTGTATTAGTATATATAAATCTTCTGGGCATGTGTTCGTAATTAAACTCCTAAACGGCTGGACAGATTTTAATGAAATTTTTTGTGTGTTCAAGTGGAGTCGAGAATGATTTACATTATTAGATATTTTTTTGTATGTAAAACTTGTGTACAGGACAACCTCTGTCGGATCCGCTAGTACAGCCCTGCGATTCTGTAACTCACTTTTCAAACTCACACAGCGGTTTTCGCATCGGCGGTCGCTCTCAATTCAGTTCGAGACCGCTGTGTAAGTTCGAAAAGTGAGTTACAGAATCGCAGGGCTGTATATGAACCTATCATTTCAAAGTTAAAACCGTAGTTTAAACCGTACGTAGTAATAAGAAAAAACGGACAGTTAAGTTTTCGTCGATTCGTCTCGAATCTTGCTTTTTGCGACCGGTTACAACTAGTAATTATGTCCACTGAACCTGTATTATATAATTTAAGATAAACCTGTCGTAGCAAGTTTAAATTATTTAATGCATTAAAAATGTTATTGTTGTATAAGCGAAAGCGAGTTCAAAATTTTCCGTATTTATTTCCGTACTTTATTTGTGTAATAAATAATATTAAGTAATTCATTATAAATTTAATTACGTATATTGATTTTATCTATTTATAATATACATTATTTAACACGAGGCAATTGAGGAAGTTACATTGTTAGCGTTGCGCCTTCTAAGATCTTAAGTTTTCATGTCATTTTATATTATATTATATATTACTAGCTGACCGGGCAAACGTCGTTTTGCCATATCATTTATAATAAAAAAATAGGGGTTAATCGTAGAGGGGTGAAAGTTAGGGGTTGTATGTATTTTTGTATGTTGTATCATAAAAAAATAGAAATTAAAAATTTTGTCTAAAAAATAAAATAAAAAATTTAGGGGTGGACTACCCCTAACATTAAGGGGGATGAAAAATAGATGTTGGCCAATTCTCATAGATACCAGATAAGCACAAAAAATTTCATCAAAATCGGTCAAGCCGTTTCGGAGGAGTATGGCAACGAAAACTGTGACACGAGAATTTTATATATTAGATTTTACACATATAAGTATCTGATTGTTCTTCATTTTAATATTTGTGAATAAATATATTATAATCATACTAGCTTTAGCTTCGCAGCTATATTTTAAATATTTTTAAATAAAATATAACCTTTGCGTAATGTGCAATTCTGTGAAATAATATTTTAAATCCAATAGAGTTTATTCATAACACGCAAATAATTCCTCTTATTAAAATTAGTATTGATTTGACGACATCTTATACTCGATTTGAATATTCAACACTTCGAAATCGTTGACGTTAGCACGATTTTAATAAAAATACAGTCGATTCTGCTAATAATATAGACGATCAAGTAGCAGAAAAAATCACAACAAAAACAATTTATTATTGCTTTTATGCGTGATATCGTGTCAAATATCAATACATAATATAGTTTTGCGAAAAATGACAAACGGGCTGGAGGTTCACCTAATGTTACCGCCGCCCATGGACACTCACATTGCTTGAAGTGCAAGTGCGTTGCCGGCCTAAGAATTGGTACGCTCTTTTCTTTAAAAAAAATATTTTATAGGTTTTTCATTTATTAATTAAATAAGACGTACCACATTATGTTCGAATTTCGTATATGTTCATTACATACATATAATTTACATGTAATACATAGTGTAATTATAATTACGTTTATAATTAATGCCAGAGGAGGTAATAAATACGTATTTTTGACGTATAAGGCGTATTAAACAAGATGTTAATGATATTAAACATGTTTTAAGTAGCAGGATCTGGCATAAAAAGGCGTATTATTCGAGATATCGTATTAAGCGTGTCCTACTGAACTTTAGCTACAGGCCAACCCACTTAGGTCTTTAAGCTTGATGCCATAGAAAAAAAATATCAGGGCGCTCTTCAAGAAAGAAAAAGAAAGACTGAGTCAGCTAAGTTTTTTTTTTTTTAATTTACAGGAGGCAGACGGGCAGGAGGCTCACCTGATATTAAGTGATACCGCCGCCCATGGACACTCGCACAGCCAGAAGGCTCGCAAGCGCGCTGCCGGCCTTTTAAGTATTGGTACGCTATCTTCTTGAAGGACCCTAAGTCGAATTGGTTCGGAAATACTTCAGTGGGCAGCTGGTTCCACATAGTGCGTGCGCGGCAGATATTGCCTTAAGAATCGCTCAGTTGTGGAACGACGGACGTCAAGATAATACGGATGGTATTTTGTATTCTGCCTTGCTACCGATGGTGAAACTCAGCTGCACTTATTAGTCCGAACAACTCCTCTGAACACTCCATAGTAAATGCGGCAGAAGATGCAGAGAGATCCCACATCTCTACGCGACGCCAAGGGATCAGTTGTTACGCACGTCTGCTAACCAGGTGGAGTTAATGGCAGTCATGACGTTACCTATGCCTCTTGGCGAAGGTGGATGCATCCGTCAGGTTTTAGTAGGTAGAGCTGCAGGACACAAGCGCAAAAGTTTTAAAAAACATGTGACTTACCTTGGTACACAAATAGAGTGGTACAACCCATGATTCTTGAGTACATGAAAGAACTCTGGGAAGGTCCGGCACGCCCCCATTATGCTGAACAACGCCAGCCCGGTGTTCCATACTATTAACGTGCGCCGCAATTCAAACCTGAAACATTATGTAAAAATATATTTGCAGCTGTTATACCCGCAATATTTTTGCTTGGATTAAAAAAAATAAACGCTAGATAGTTTTTTTATTAAGAAACAAGCGTCGGAATCGACACTATTTTTAAAAAAAATAAATAGTGGCGCTACAACCTAAAAAGTATTATATTTAGGTATTTGTCGATCTAATAGGCAAGTAGGTGATCAGCCTCCTGTACCTAACACACGCCGTCGACTTTGTGGATCTAAGGCAAGCTGGTAACGTCACGATGTTTTCCTTCACCGTTCGAGCGAATGTTAAATGCGCACATAGACAGGAAGTCAGACGGGGATCGAACCTACGATCTCAGAGATGAGAGTCGCACACTGAAGCCACTAGGCCAACACTGCCGAAACATTATAGTGTAGCCTAAACAGTAATAAATACTCACATTATGATAAGAAAAACGTGTTAACACTACATATTTGCATAATTGCTGTCAGTGGAGGAAAACACAGAAAATTTCCGTAATACTAGACCACAGAATTGACCTCGCCTTTATTAACTTTAAAACTATTCTAACTATAGATTTATAACTGATATTTATGTATCATCTCTATTGATTGAATCCTTACATACATCTCAAGGGAACTGTGTACAACTCGAAACGTTGGCACAGAATTTATTTGTTTAGTGTCTATGGCGCCTCTCTGGTTACATCAAAAATATGTGTATTACGAAGTAAAAATAGTTCCGGAAGTAGTCTTAGTAGTTCATTGCCAGTTCTTCTCTTCCGTTCTACGCCCTCGATTTGAGAACTGGCATTAAATGTAAATTGTATTATTATTGTGTTACCTATATGAATAAATGATTTTGACTTTGACTATATATCAAGATTTGTGAGCTATTAGTTACGCTAACAGGAGGCAAAGGTTTGCGAAAGCCTCTATTGGCTCCTGGGTATCATCTATCATTTATTTAATTAAATTCTAAACATTTTTATGAAATATTCTTAAGAATCTTGCCATAAGTGCGCAATTAACTAGTTCTGTTGTTTACGAATTGACATCGAACATCCGCCCGAAGTGGGATGTTCGAGATGGAGTAGGGAACAGAATATAAAACAAGTTGTGGCACATGCGCATGGGCATTATTCGTATAACTTTAAGTGATACTCTTTATGTAAAGTCAGTGAAGTGAAAGAAGTTAATTATAGTGAACCAAGTAATTATTGGCGTGTTTAATTTCGTACCCTTTAATCTAATATTTATTACTCGTTAATAAAATAATTAATAAAGAAATCGGAGATAATTATTTTTTCTTTCATATACATACACATAATACATATCATAACTTAACACACAAATATCAATTAAGCATTAGCGTCATTTGTATAACGATGTTTACCTTTTTGTACACAGCTCCGCAAATTCTCCCTTAACAATTGATTAAATATTCAATAATAAATAAAATATATTTTATACCAGAGTATCCCCAAATCGGGGCCAACGCCCAACAGGGGGCAATTTAATGTTAATGGGGGCTATTCGAAAATTTATTAAAATTATTATGAATTTAAATATCAGGTTTTGTTTATGTTTAAAAATTTAATTGCCGTGTTTCATTAAAAAAATCCTAGTAATTTCTTCCTAACCTACCAATTAACCTTCTTAAGTGAGCAATTCCATTTTCATATCAAACATTATGTATATTACATAGAGGGGTGGAATAAGAATATTTAAAATAGGTCATAAGTACATGTGTACCAAAATTTTAAAGCATACTGAAATTACGAAACAATGAATCATTTAACACCGTTATTATATCAGAACAATATATTATTAAATTTATTTGTTGCTGAGTTTCCTGTTTTATTTGAATTTAAAGTTTCAATTTTATTCTCGAATTTTATTCACGAATTTATTTACATCAATTATAATCACGTCCATCGTATGTATATAATGTTATTACAAATATTAACATTGGCCTTATAATATTAATAAATCTTGTTCATATATAAAACAATAGTCAGATTTGTGCGAACACTTATAACTCGAGAATGGCTGGACCAATTTTAATGGTTATTGTTTGATTAAAAATATGAAAAAAAAACTAATACAAAATATTAATGGTTTTAACTGTCAAACATTTAATGTTCATTTCGTCGATAAGGCAAACTACCCTCAAATTAAAGAACGTATTTAAATTTCGAATCGACAAAATTCATCCGCAATATTCAGATAATATGAGATTTCTTTAAATATAGAATAATGTTAGTAATTAAAAAGGATACAAGAGATTGATATATTGGTTGCAATTATTAAAATAGTATATATTTAGTATTCATTGTATTACATCCATAAATCATAAATTAAGCTCAGCAGACATTACGTAACGAATTTGGGGGGGGTTCCCATTTTGTAAAACGTTACGATGCGGGGCGGGGATTGAATTACACGTTATTGTTAATATTATTTTCGACTTACACCACATAATGGTAACTGAAGAGTCACTAGGTGGTCACGAAACGTTTTACTATACTTGGGTACAGTACTGTACTTGGGTACTGAAAAACGTTACGGCGAGTTACATGGGGGAGGGGGTATCAATAATCTCCAAAAATTGCATTACATAATACTTGAACGCTCCCTAATGTGTAACACGACATCCATCGACTGTTCGGCGGTACGAAGTTCAATAATATTATAGATAGATATTAATACATATTTAAACAAGATACACAACACCAAATTCATACATCATGTTTGTCTCAGCCGGGGATCGAACCCGGGACCCATGGATTCGCAGTCAGGGGTACTAACCACTAGACCAATGAGCCGTTAGTTTTATAACCACCTAGTATCTACTTGTCATACAAACGGACCAGAAATGGACACAAAATTATACTCCATAATGACGTTTAATACAAATATACCGCGTTTGTACTGTGGTTACCATTATATACAAGAAAAGTCGTAAAATACCGTACAATCCTAGTGCACGTTTTATAAGACCGGAACTGTTTATTAGCTTCATTAGGCTAGTTCAAACACTTTAGATTGACGCATTTTATACAACAGACTTGGTTGCTCGGATACTTCGAAAAGGGCAATAAATTCGTAATTAAAACACAAAGTAGTGAAGTAAGTTACAGTAACGTCTTTTCAAACTATAAAGATATTTTAGAAACATCATATTCTTTGCAACCAAATATGTTCACGATAGATAACAGTACAATCAGAGATGAGGCCTTCAAGTGTAAAGGGTCAATGAACGTTAGTTTGGCAATTTATGCGTCGACTACGAAGCTGATTTTCTATTACGGAAATAACGCCTATATATAATTAGATAATAATAAGAAAAACGTTGCCCTAGTGGCTAGCAGACCTCCAGACGCACGCTGTTCACAACTCTTACTTGGTTGACGCTTCATTGGGAAAATATCTTAGAGAAGGCTTAGAGGATTTCATGGCTTTAGCCAGGCTAAATTTAATAGAAACGCCTTCGTCACTTAACAATGAGTTTCTGCGGTCATTGGCCACCAGTGGACTTTTTATGTGCGCATGTGCTTGAGACAAAAACATCGTGAGGAATACGGCATGTCCATGATACAAAAATCGCGCTTATACGTAATGACCTTACATATGAAATTGGCGTTTTGTACGGGAGGAACAATTAAGGACATTAAACATTGCATACAAAGCTACAGGTGTGTGAGAGAGCGATGGAACGATGTATGATAGGGAAGAAAAAAGAAGAGACAAAATAAAGAATACAACGTTAAGAAAAACAACTAAGGTAATAGATGTTACAATAACAAAAAATAAACTAAAGTGGAAATGGGCGGGGCACATGGCAAGAGGAACGGAAAAGTGGAGCAAAAAACTACTACACTGGTGCCCAAGGTCCAGCAAACGAAAGAGGGAGACAACTTAGAAGGTGGATAGACCACATTAAAGAAACAGCAGGTGGTACATGACAGAGAGTCGCACAGTGCAGAGAGGAATGGAGGAGGCTTTTGCCAAAAAAGGGCACACATACACTAGAAGAGAATTAAAATGGAATGTGTTTAAATGTAAATGTATCATAATAAAGGCTATTATTATTATGGTAGAAAGAAAATGTAGATTTTTTTATAGAATACCTATATTTAATTAATCAAAGTATGTACCATTGCTATCTATGCATTTTGCCATCTCATAGGTAGTTCATTGATCCCTTTACTAAAAACCATTCGGAAGGGAATCAATTAAATCTTTAAAGGCCATCAGAGTTGATTTTTTTTTCAAGAAGTTATCAAAATTTCGAAAATAATGGTAAGGGGCCATCCATAAAGTACGTCACACGTTAATGGGGAGGTAGGGTATCACCGAAGTGTGATATCGTGTGACAAGGGGCATGGGGGGGTCAATACTTTTGTGACGTCACAGGTTAATTTTAAATACTAAAACGCAAAGTTTGGATGTGAATTAAAAATTAACGAACTTGATCATATTTATTCATAATTTAGCATTCTCGCTATGCGATAATCTCTCATGCAACGTCATTTAACTTCTAGAGCGGCGTTGTAATGCAAGTGAGACACTCAAATTCACGAGAATTTTGAATGGTAAGGATTTAAATAGGTTTAAGTCGTCGGCGAGTGCTCGTGAAATGTTGGACTTTATGTTGATTTTATTAGATTATTATTTAATAAAAATAAGTATAAAATGAAAATAGCTGTTTTCTCTCGATTATTTTTAAATACATATACATAAATTTAAAAAATGTGTGACGTCACATCAGGAGGGGGGGTTATAAAAATGTGACAACCTGTGACAAGGACGGGGGCCTCCCCCCGGTTCAAAGTCCTAAAATTCGTGTGACGTACTTTATGGATGGCCCCTAATCTGTTGGAGCAAGGTCCGGGGAGTACGCTGGATGTCTTAAATATTCCAATTGCTCTAATTTGGTAGCAGTCTTCGCACGTGTGTGGTCTAGCGTTGTCGTGAAGCAGCAGTGGCCCAGAGCGATTGACCAGCATTGGTTGTTTAGCAGCTAGCTTGTCTATCATGGTTTGCAGTTTCTGACATTAGGCATCTGCCGTAATCGTCTGGCGGAGAAATCGGAGTCGATTTTCGCTTGGGGCAAGATTTGCCTGGTTCGGCTGGGTTCAGCCATTACGATGAGCGCTTCTGGTCATCGTACAGGATCCACTTTTGATCCAAGTACATACCTTACAATCAACTAATCGCGTACAACGTTCTTTGATAAACAACAAAATAACTGGTTAACTCCACGTGTAAAATGTAGGAGAATATCGGTTGATTATTATTCATAATGCAATGTTGCAAATGTTCAACTATGTTGATATGTACGATATGTGTTTGTATGATATGTTGATTTTGTACTAAGAATGAAAAAACTAATAGCATTTTTGGTCTTAGAAATGGTAATATTTTTTATTGGTAGTGTGTAGTCCTACTTCTTAAACTTCAACAATACACTTATTGTAGAAAGTATATATACGTTAGAGGTATGGTAGTCAAAAATAGGAGCCACCACTCAACAACACCAAGTCGTCAAATCCTTGGAGTATTATACTGGCCCGACATAATCTCTATCATATATCATATAATCATCTATGGCAGTTATTCAATGACGTGCCAATTGACAAGTCTATAAAACGCTGAATTTGGGTAGGCCCTGTGCTCCGGAGGGACCCAAGTCACATTACAAATCAAGCCCTCGACTAGAATCCTCAAGGCAAAATGAAACGTGGCCGCCGAACGTGGCAACGATGCATCATTGCAGAGGCGAAGGAAGCTGTAAGACCTGGAGGTTAATTAAGAGAGCTGCCCAGGAACGACCAGGCTGATTTTCTACGCCAACCTGGGAGATTTAGGACTTTAAACAATATATTAAAAAACGAGGAAACTTGGTGTGGACCCAGACTCTTCTTTTAATCTTTTTAAATACTAGAACAGACTAAAACAGCGTTAAGCTAAGAACGTAGACATCCACATAACACGATGTTTACTAACGGCCGCTTTCTATACTCAATCCCAATCCAATTTTGACTACTAGAGAGTCTTTTGATTTCAATCCATTTCTCATAAAATACTTTTCAATAACCGATCTATGGATCGTTTTTGTAAAATATATTTGAATTCGACAGATCGAATTTTGACATTTATCGATCTAAATTTGCGAAAATCTGTATTGGAAATAATTTTAGATTATAGATCGAGTATAGAAAGCGGCCGTAAGTGCCTAAACATTCGAAATTTTAATATAAGTTCACAAAAACTTAGAGGATGTCTCACGTGCATCGATGACCGATCCCTACAATATCACGTGTCATCATATTTTTGAAATGAGATTGACCTTTGTACTCATAACAGAACATATGATCACCGGCATGCACAACACTGATGTCAGATAGTAATGTCATAACAGAGTCAGAATGTCTAGGTCGAAAGGCCATCAGTGTTTTATAAGGGCAATCAAAATTGATTTTTTTATGTAATTGAATTTTCATTTGGAATTTCTACAGCCGGACCCAATTTATAAAAACCTTTTTTAACTTCGGAGATATTTACATAACATACTTTGACTTTTTTTTAAACAATTTTTTGAAGTTATACTTCTTGGCGCTTTAAAGAAAAATGATGAGAGTAATTTTTTACGATGCGCGCGCACACCGTCACAAAAAACCGACACCCTGAAGTTAGCTATACTGAACATTCTAGTTTTTTTGAAGTTATACTTCTTTTGGCACGTTAGGGAAAAAATGAGAGCATTTTTTTGTCTATTGTTAGTGTCGTTTTTTCTACACACGTAGAATAAGGCGAAGGATAAAATTTTAAAAAGATTTTTATCTTGTTTCGCCAAAGAAGTATAACTTCTAACGCGTGTACATAGTACACACACGTTTTTTTTTTAAATCTTATACTAAGACATCAAGGAACATTACGATCGATAGCCTAACTTAACACTAATCATAACGGGTATATCATAAACTCTTTTGCTTGATTTATAATTTGATACATTTTAGTATATAGTTATTTTGGGCTGGCGATCTGAGTGAGTTGTTGCCCCACATATTTTTATGGTGCCACTGGCGGTATTGCTGTGTACCGGGTTGTGCAGCTCCCTCAAAAATGGTTGAGCTGCATGAGCTATTCGGGGCATGCTTGCCGTCTGCTGGCACAGGCTTGCTCAGATCGATCTGGTTCTTTCTTCCAAAGACCAGTCCAGTAAATACTCTGCATTTGTTTACACCAATTTATTAATTTATTATTGTATTATCTGGACTATAAAAGAGACTAAGACCCCCGAGTTTGTTTCGACATTTCTTCTCAGGGCAGTCAGTTAGGAAATGTCGACTTCATCTAGTTTAGGATGACATTGTAAAAGTGATTTATATAGTCCTACTTGCAAGAATAAACTATTTCATTTCATTTCATTTCATAATAAGTCTAACCAAATTTACTAATAAGGATATTTAACAAGTGTCTAAAAATAGTATATCTAATAAACGACGCTTTGAATACATGCGAAGCAGTCTCCATGTTGTCAGGCGTAAGATGCTGCAGTCACACATACACACACACACAAACACACATCAAATTTATTTTTAAGACTCCGTTTGCAATGTTTTCTTTTAGCACTTACTTATTTTCTTCTATTGTATCTTATGACAATTACATGATTGTACGTTTTCCGGTCCGGTGGTGGAGAGGCTGGCTATCTGTCACTCAGGTCTCCTGTTACAGAAACCAGTCTCTCACATACACTTCCTAATGTTATCGTCTTAGTTTAATCATAATAACCTTGTATGTATATGTGAGAGAAGAAAATAAAGATTACTATTACTGTTGATCCGTCACCAATAATAGCACTTGCAAAGTTGAAATATATCAAATTGCATATTTGTATTGTCTTTTATTTTCATTGTATAATTTATTTTCTCTTTATTCATGTAATGTTCCTATTTAAATGTTGTGCACACTTGTCATTGATACATGTATTGTATGTGTGTTCTCTGTAAATGCTTGCATGTGTTAGTGTGCATACATAAATAAATAACACTACTTACAGTCTCTATTAAAGGGAAGACACTCTGTTCTCGTGGGCAGGAAAAATAGCATAAGCAGTGTCAGAGTATGTCATACTGAAGTCAAAATGGCTATAACAGTGGCCTGACTAAATAATTTAATATATATATTTCTTGTATTGACTGAACTTCTCTCAAACGACTGGAATTTTGATGAAATTTTTGTGTGTGTTCAAGGGGAGGGAATGGTTTAGATTCACAAATCAGCGGCAGATGGCACTGCAGTCGGTACTTTCATACTTTGCTTAATATCCTAATCGCTTTAAATATCATGCAGGACAACGTCTGTGGGCTCCACTAGTGTCAATATATATTCAAAAGTACGGCACTAAAGCTCAGGTAACATTCAGTGTTTTAAGCAGTTTTTATGAAGCCATTATGGAATTGTTTTGAATTATAAATCACTTCATAGTGGACCTAAAAATATTAAATAACAACATTTATACTGACTGGCCTTGTGTTAAGAGAATAAACAAGGTGTTAATT